TGATGAGAGAGAATCATTGATTGGCTGCCTCCTGCACGCGCCCTCCCCATCCCCCCCCCCCTCCCCCAGGGGATCAAGCTCTCGAAACCTGGGCATATGCCCTGACCGGGAATCAAACCAGTGACCTCTTGGCTCCAGGGTCGACACTCAACTGCTGAGCTACACGTGGCTGGGCATGATGGGTTATTTTTAATGTGGGAGTCCAGGCCCTGAATGTCTGGCCATGTGTTATGAGTGAGCAGCCTGATCCCTAAACACCTGTACTCTCAGTGTGATGAAATTGCCTGTTCTGGTTTTCATGGCCACTCCAATAAGAATTTGTAGAAGTGGGGGCCCCCCCTGATCACCCCACCAGTTACCCCACAGATCGGCTCTGATTGCTGGTCAGGCCTATGGACCCTACCCATGTACAAATTCCATGCACCAGGCCTCCAGTATATAAATATAGATGTAACCTGTCATTCTCCAGAGCATTATCTCAGTTTGTTGAGGTTCTGCTTCCCAGCAATTGTAGACAGTTTGGCTCAAATAAACTCACAAAAATTCTTTACAGGTTTTAAAGTTTTTATGTTAACAAGGGCTATATGTGGAGAAACCCCTGATGTATTTGAGATTAAATCCTTCCTAGTTGGATTCAGGTATTGCCACTGGTCTGATTTATAAGTAAACCAGAACTATTAGGAATAGAAATGGGGAGGTAAATGAGTGTTTATTGTCTTTAACTCTTATTAATCTTAGCTTTGGTGTTTGTACCAAAGAAAGAAATTACTTGTATTTATTCTTACGGCTAAATTGCTAGCAATAAATTAGGAAAAGAAAAAAAAAAAAGGCACATGGGATAATTGACTGAAAAACAAATGTCAGTAAAAGTAAACAGAATGGATTCCACTAAATCTACTTGCAAAAATGTCAGAGGAGTTGAGTTGTTTTCCCTCACAATATTTGTGCTGGTCTAAAGTTTAATTAAATTTCTCCATAGAGACTGGGTATTTCACTAGATGTCACTTTGAGATTTTTCTCAATGAAAGACTGCATTCTGATTAAATGGTGCAGTATTTGTCCTCAGTAGTAGAGCTATGATAATTGACACCTCTCTTCCCCAACTCTCGCAGGCTTACTAAACTGCAGGAAAGAAGGAGCACTTGCCACTGAACCAGTGCTTCTGAGGCTGGGCCAGTCCTGCTTTGGTCACTAAGGAGCTGTGTGACCTTGAGCAAGTCTCTTAAGACCTCCAGCATATTAAGTATTAGAGACATCGATTTGCCTGACACATACGTTCAATGATCAGTTCTGAAACCCTTCCTGCTCCAGCAGCCTCTGGCTCTGTTGTATTACAATGTTACACAAACACACAGCCAGTGAAATTTAGCAAAATAAATAGGACTTTGGGGATTTTTAAAAACGAATAAACTATTCACTGGGCTGGAGTCATCAGGTAACTGCATATTATTTTAGAATGAGAAATTAAAGAGTAATAGGGTTGCCTACATTTTTAAGTCTGAGGCTTTCTTTACCTTAATATTTCATTTATTAGACTTATCATGTAAATGTTGCTGATCTTTCTTGATTTTAGCCGTATTTCCAAGCTATTGGAGAATGACAAAGGGTAACTGTTTCTGCAGGTATCATTATTTTCTTCTTTTTTGGGGGGTATCTTATAAGCTGCTGGGGAAAATGTTAGATATAATAACTATTTAAAAAAAATAAGGACATCTAGGTTGTACATCTAGGTTAACACACCTTTGAAATTCCACAGTCATCCTCTGTTTAGACTCCGAGGCATAACCATCTCAAGGGAGCATGCAATCTTGTTAACTATCCTATAATCCAAGCATGCCAAACTGAAAGGCTAACATGGGCCAAATATACAAGGTTTAAGTTTATGTGGGCCACAAAAAAATAAAAGCTTCAATCTTCATAGAAACATAGGTTTATTTAGATAGATACATGCTGAATACAAAGGGCTGAAATAAATGCGTAATCATTAACATAAAATAATTGAACATGTTAATAAAAATCAATATTTCTCCTTGCACATTAATTTACCAGACACAAATTAATAAGCACAATGCAAATAAAATTATCTTTCTTGTTCTCTGAATTCAAAATATTTCCTGTTGCACACACCAAAAAGTCAGTCCAAGACTTATGAAGTGGTGATTGGCTGCTAAAATATTTGCTGCTAGTATTGGTGGAAAGAAATGCTGCACCTGTGCATGAGGCACCTAAGGGAAGTGAATGCAACACGATTACAGTAATCAGTCATTAGTGAATGTTGTAGTTCGTTATCAATAACTAGAGGCCCCGGTGCATGAAAATTTGTGCAAGACTAGGCCTTCCTTCCTCCAGCTGCCAGCACCGGCTTCCCTCTGGCACCCGGGACTGGGGCTTCCCTCCTCCCACTGCCGGCAGGTACCTGAGACATCAGCTTGCTTCTCTTGGGCTGCCCACAGTCACCCAGGGCCTGGCTGGCTTTCCTCTGGCCCTGGCTTCGTCAGGAAGGCCGTCTAGTCTAATTAGCTTATTACCCTTTTATTATTATAGATTAGAGACCCAGTGCACCATTTCATGCACCGGTGGGGTTTGGCCGGCCCGACCCCAATGGGGGCGGATTGGGTCTCAGCCTGTAGGGTGGGGGATTCAATCAGGGGCAGGGCCAGCAGAGGGGAGGGCCTGTGGGTCTATTGTGGTGGGATGGGCTAATTGGAGGCAGAGCTGGCCCAAGGGTGTAGGGGTGGGGCATTTGGCTGGCCTGCTCCACCCTTTATGGAGTGGGAGAGTCTGATCAGGAGCAGGTCAGCTGGGGGAAGGGGCGTCCCTCAGCCTGGCCTGCACCCTCTCACAGTTTGGGAGCCCGCGGGAGATGTCTGACTGATGGCTTAGGCCCGCTTCCCACAGTTGGACATCCTTGGCACTGCTGTGGAGGCAGGAGAGGCTTCCACCACTGCCGCTGCACACGTCAGCTGTGAGCTGGGCTTCTGGCTGAGCGGCACTCCCCTGTGGGAGCACACTGACCACCAGGGGCAGCTCCTGTGTTGAGTTTCTGCTCCCTGGTGGTCAGTGTGTGTCATAGTGACTGGTCCTTCTGCTGTTCAATTGATTTGCAAATTACCCCTTTATTATATATTAGAGGCCCGGTGCAGGAAATTCGTGCACTGGGGGGTGGGTGTCCCTCTGCCCAGCCTGCACCCTCTCTAATCTGAGATCCCTCTCACAATCCAGGACTGCTGGCTCCCAAACGCTTGCCTGTCTGCCTGCCTAATTGTCCCTAACCACTCCCCTGCCAGCCTGATGGATGCTTAACTGCTCCCCTGCCAGCCTGGTCACCCCTAACTGTCCTCCCCTGTAGGCCTTGTCCCTCCTAACTGCCTTCCCCTGCAGACTTGGTTGCCCCCAACTTTCCTTTCCTGCTGGCCTGATTGCCCACAACTATCCTCCCCTGCTGACCATCTTGTGGTGGCCATCTTTGACCACATGGGGTGACCATCTTGTGGGAATGTGTGAGGGTCAATTTGAATATTACCTTTTTATTATATAGTATGATTATGTATAATAGGATATTATAAAATTTAAGTTATGAAAATTTTAAAATATATATATTTTATTGATTTTTACAGAGAGGAAGGGAGAGAGATAGAGAGCCAGAAACGTCAATGAGAGAGAAACATCCACCAGCCACCTCCTGCACACCCCCCACCGGGGATGTGCTCGCAACCAACGTACATGCCCTTGACCAGAATCAAACCCGGAACCTTTCAGTCCGCAGACCGACGCTCTACCACTGAGCCAAACCAGCTTTGGCTAAGTTATGAAATTTTTATTAAAACGTTTCTTACATACCATTATATCGGCTGGGCCACAAAAATATTTGTTGTGGGCCTCATGTGGCCCGTGGGCTGCGAGTTTGACATGCTTGATGTAATCACAGAAATCCCTCTCTCCTTCCTGTTCCCTGCTGTGCTTTCTCTCATCTTTTTGTAATCTTCCTTACTTCTCTCCTTAATTCCAAAAGCATAAAAGGAAACTGTAAAACACTCTTTCTCTGGAGCATTTGAAATCTTGCTTCCAGGCATGTCATCTATCGTATTTGGCTCAAATAGACTCAAGTAAATGCTTAAAAAATTCTCCTCAGGTTTGGAAGTTATCATATCAACATTTTCAACTTTAGTAATGCCTCAAAAATAAATGTAGGTGTCTTTTTTCCCCTTGTGATATACCTTTTAAGTGGGAGAAAGATCAAAATAGACTTGTGCATGAAAAGAGAATTGTAGCCTACTTTTGTCAATAAAATACTAAAGAATTCCTTCAGTAATCAAAAGTGGTGGTCTTTTTTAGGCAAGGGTGAAATTGCCTTTTGTTTTAGTGGAGAAATAAATAGAAACGAGAAAGAATCTCTTTTTAATAAAAACTTTTATGGTATGTCCATTCAGCTGCCATGTCACATGAGCTAAGTAGCTGGATTTGTGACATTCAGAAAGCGAAGAAATCATGAACAAAAGTGTAAAGAAAAGAATATGTCTGAAAACTAAACTCTTGAGCTTTCAGTCTTGCCAGTGGATCTTCTAAAACTGCAAGCTGCCTGTATTTGTGTTGTAAACAATCACGCTGTTTGTACCTATCCTCATTTTTAAACTAAACACAACGATGGAGCTCAATTAAAAGCAGATTAACTACATAGCTGTGTATAATTGATTATGGCAGATTTGGCTTGGCTAAATCCACTTAGAGCCTCCCTAAGGAGACATACCATTTTGGCTTCCTCTTGGTGGATAAAAAAAAAAGGGGGCCTCTATAGTATGTCTAGCAGAATTTATGATCTGATCCTAAATTCCTAACTGAGCAGATTATGGTGGGTGGGTAGTCACGTCCCAGGCCTATAACTGGCTTAGTAAAAGGTTTACTTCGGAGTCTCCACCGCCTAGGCTCACAGCAGTGCAGCCGCTTGGAGTAGAACTACTTGGACAAGCGTGGAGGAGCGCGGAGGGACCCAAATTGAACGCATGGCTCCCACCCATGCCCACGCCCACACCGAGGCCGCACAAGCGCAGCGGGTCCCTGCGGCCACCTACACCGACCCCAGGATGCTGAACGCTGATGAAGACTCGCCTTCCTCTCCAGAGGACATCTCTTACGATGATTCCGAGATATTCAATGCCGCAGCCGCTGACGAGGTCACAGCCCATCTGGCCGCTGCAGGTCCTGCAGGGATGGCTGCCGCCGCTGCCGTGGCCACAGGGAGGAGACGGAAAGGGCCTCACGTGTTCGAGCCGAATCCATCCATCCGGAAGAGACAGCGGACCCGCATGCTTCGGAAACTTCGAGCTACCTTGGAGGAGTATACTACTCGGGTGGGACAGCAAGCCGTGGTCCTCTGCGTCTCGCCCTCCCAGCCCAGCCCGGTCTTCAAAGTGTTTGGCGCCGCGCCCTTGGAGCGCGTGGTGCGCAGGTACCAGAGCGCGATCCTGGGGGACCTGGAGTGCGCCCTGGCCCAGCGCGCCCCGGGGCCGCCCGAGGGGACCCTGGAGCTGCCGCCTCTCACCGTGGACGGAATCCCAGTGTCCGTGGATAAAATGACCCAAGCCCAGCTCCGGGCATTCATCCCAGAGATGCTCAAGTCCTCCACGGGCCGGGGGAAACCAGGTTGGGGCAAAGAAAGCTGCAAGCCCGTCTGGTGGCCTGAGGATATCCCGTGGGCGAGTGTCCGGAGGGATGTCCGCACGGAGGAGCAGAAGCAGAGGGTTTCTTGGACCCAAGCGCTCCGCACCATAGTTAAAAACTGTTATACACAGCACGGGCGGGAGGACTTTCTGCACGCTTTTGGAGATCAGCAACCACAGGCACAGGCCACGAGCACACACGGGATAGCCCATCTTGTTCCATCCCAGACGGCCGTCCAGACCTTTCAGAACCCTGACGGCACTGTCTCCCTTATCCAGGTTGGCACAGGGGCAACGGTAGCCACATTGGCTGATGCTTCGGAATTGCCAGCCACGGTCACTGTTGCCCAGATGAATGATGCTGCTGCGGCAGATGGAGAGGTGGGACAAAACTGGGCCACGTTACAAGGAGGTGAGATGGCCATCCGGGCGACGCAAGCTTCAGAGGCCACACAGGCAGCGGCACCCTTGGCAGCTGCCGCAGCTGCAGCTTCTCAGGAGATGCAACAGGGAGCTACCGTCACCATGGCGCACAACAGTGAAGCAACCGCCCATGCCATAGCCGCATCAGCCGAACCCACCCTGCGAAGGGGGGGACACATCGTCCTGTCTGTGGAAACCGCAGCAGCCGTTGCAGGACTCACTGGAGCCCAAAACACTAATGGACTGGTCCAGATCCCCGAGAGCATGTACCAAACTCTGGTAACCAGCCTCACCCAAGGCAACTGGCCGGTGCAGGTGGTCATGGCCCCTGGGACCGCAGTCAGCATGGACGGCCAGGCGGTGGAAGTGATGACGTTGGAACAGTGACATGACATGCAGCCATACCATAGCATTGTTTTCTAGGCTACTTCAGACATTGTTACACATTGCAGAGGTGCCGTCAAACGAAGTTAAGTCCCTCAACTTTGGAAGAAAAGGATTGCTAATCCTTTTTTAAAAGAGGAAGAAAGGCAGAGAATTTTGGAATTGCATTTTTTAAAGCATCACTCTTGATTTTCTGGGATTCGTGGGATAAGATACTGCGTTGTTAGTTTCACTGCCCCTAAAGAGCCAAATTGTGGCAGGACTTCTTTCTGCGAAAATGTGTGTATACTTGTGTGTATATGCAAATGTGAATATATGTATATGTGTACAGATGGATATAAACATTTATATATCTTTATAGTATATATGTGTACATATCTACACTAATAAAAGTGAAAGATGCAAATTGACCTGACGGTACCTTCATGACACCACCAGCCAATCGGGAATGAATATGCAAATTAACCAAAAGATGGTGGGTTAATTTGCATACACAAGCTCCCAGTGGGGGTGGGGTGGGGAGTGGGAGTGGGATGCTTGTGTCGTTGCCATGGTGATAATGCAGGCATTTTGCACTGCCCCAGCTGCTCCGGACCTCTAGGCAGCATGGGAAGGCAGATAGGTGGCCCTAGAACAAAGGCTGTGCCAACAGCCAGTGTAAGGAAGGCCCATTCTGCATGAATCTTTATGCATCAGGTGTCTAGTATATACAATATATATGAAACCTGAATGGAATTATCTGTATGAAGTTAAGGTGGGCTGTGGAAAAAAAAATAATTCACCCAGTTTAGTGGGTGTAGAGCAGTGTTTTTCAACCTTTTTTGGGCAAAGGCACACTTGTTTCATGAAAAAAATCACGAGACACACCACCATTAGAAAATGTGAAAAAATTTAACTCTGTGCCTATATTGACTATATATAAAGTAATTCTCTTGAATAGGAATCAAATAAACACAAAGAAAGTATTTTATAATTACTTTATTATGAAATATTAAGTAAACAAAATAGTGAAAAATTATAAAATTCTTGTTTTGTCTGCACCTACGACACACCAGGCAACATCTCGCGGAACACTAGTGTGCCGCGGAACAGCGGTTGAAAAACGCTGGTGTAGGGTATGTGGCCAGACACAGTAACTGATTTTTATTGATACCATGGTCATGGATTGAGCTACTGACAAATAGGTGGAGGTGACTGTGGTCTACACCAAAGCTGCCTCCTGGTGGCCACCCAGACCTCTGCCTGCTGGACTCCTCTGAGAAAGGAAGTTCCAGAACTGGTGGGGTACAGAAATTGTGCTTGCAAGGTCCAGGGGCCCCATGGTCTGGCAGCTGAGACGCTCCTCGGGCTGGCCCAGGTGCTGACCTTGCCACAGGCAGGTGAATGTCCTTAAAGCTCCAGGCAGGGACAAGAAGCTTTTCCTCAACCTCCCATCACCCCTTCCCAGGAAACCTCTTGATTTTATGAGTGCTAAATATGGCTTTGGTTTTAAGGTCAGTCCTAAATTGGTCATGTATGTGAACTGAAGGTAACAGAAATATTAAGGGTTTGAGGAGTATGGGCATGGTGAGTTTGTGGTGTGTGTGTAGGGGGAGAGAATGGGAGAGGGAGTGGGAGAAGTTTGGAAGGGAAAGGAAGTAGGGAGAGGAAAACTCAAAAGACCAGGGTTCACCAGTGAAAGCAATTTTCTACTTCCTCTAACTCTGTAGCTTCACAGAGAGGAGATTGGAGCTGACAGGGCACCTGCTCAGGCCATCACACTGGGCTGGGGGCATAAGAAGAGAAAAAGGATTGGGGTGTTTCCTGAGCTCTGAGGTCAGGCCCTCTCAGAAGGGACCTCGCATCCTAGTGGGCCCAGGCCCCGCACAGCTGCCTCCTCATGAGTGACCCTGGGTCTGGGCTTCTCTGTAACTCTTCAAGTCTGGGATTTCTCAGCTGCAAGTCCTGGGTATCCAGTGGCTAAATTCATCTGACTTTTCCACAGGCCAAATCTCCGCTGCTTGAGCACAGGGACAACTCTTCCCCTTTCCTCTGGGCCTCCCATGTGTGATAAAGTATTTAATGTTTGTTTTTTTTTTTTTTTTTTTTTTTTTTTAATGCAACAGTAACAGATTATTCATGTCTTGCTCAGCCTTTAAGGAAAGTTTAAGATTCTTATACAGTATTTGCTTGTTTTATATAAAACTAGATGCCTGATGCAGATTCATGCACCGATGGGATCTCTCGGCCTGGCCTGTGGGATCGGACTGAAAGCGGCTCTCCAACATTCCCCGGATTACAAGAGGGTGCAGGCCAGGCCAAGGGACCCCACCAGTGCATGATCAGGGCCCAGGAGGGATGGTGGGATGGCTCCAGGATGTATCTGGCTTGTCTTGCCCAGTCCTGATCTGCCAGACCCCAGCAGCAAGCTAACCCACCAGAGCATCTGTCCCCTCAGGGTCTGTGTACATCATAGGGACTGGTTGAATGAATGGTCCCACACTTAGCATATTAGGCTTTTATTATATAGGACGAGAGCCTTGATGCATGAAAATTCTTGAACTGGAAGGGGGTCCCTCTGCCAGGACTACTCCTTCTCACAGTCTGGGGCAGGAGGCGACCTGGTGATCAGGGTAAGGCGTTGCCCTATCATACTTCTGCTGCTGCCACTGCCAGCAGCACAAGCCTTGGCCAGACCTGGTTACCTGAGCCTCTGGAGGCTCTGGGTGGCTGGGAAGCCACCATCTGAGGCTTGTCTGTGTCTTGGGCCGGCTCTGGGTGGCTGGAGGACTGGAGGACTCTGGAGGCAGGCACGTGGAGCTGAGGGGACTGGGTGCCACCATCTTGTGCTGTGGGCACCATCATCTTTGAAGGCGTGACAGTCAATTAGCATATTCCCTCCTTATTGGCTGTGGGCACCTCCATCTTTGAGGGTGGGGCAGTCAATTACCATATTCCCTCTTTATTAGATAGGATTATCCCAGGTTAAAACAAATAAAAGGTTTATCTTTGCCTTAAGCAAGCCCTGTCCATTGTTTTTTGTGCATCTAGGTTAGCACGCCTTTAAAATGCCTCCTTTTAAGACCCCTGGGAAGTATAACCACTCTCAACAGAGCACATAATCTTGTTAAATGTTCTGTTATTTAATCCCCACCTTGCCTTGCTTTCTACTATCTTCATGTAACCTTTGAAACATTCCTCTCTCCCCCCTCCTTAATTCCAAATGTATTAAAAAAACTACAAAACTGTCCTCATCTGGAGCATTTGAGATCTTGCTTCTTGGTATTGTCATCATTTGGCTCAACTAAATTTTATCAAAACTCTCTACAGGTTTGGACATTTCTTACATCAACATACTGCTCTAAGATATAGTGGGTCATAGATTTTAGGCAGAGTACTAATTAATCATGTAATAAATGAAACATTTCAATTCTTTAAATATGGTGCATGTGAGCAGATGAGATGGTAAATGACTTTGCCCTTAAATCCAAAGCCAACTCATTTCCCCACTTGTGCTCCCTTGTGTATTTGTCTATTGTTTTTCTTTTATTCCCGATATCAGGAGGCTTCACCTGATATCAGAATCACACTTTCCGGACATGTAGCTCTTACTTAAGGTGGACGCTTCTTAGAAAATACCTAAGGGTGCTTCAATTCCTGATTTTGATTGATTATGATGAAGGTGGTAGGCATACCAGGAAGTTTGGTAAACGTATTTAGTGGTATTTTATTAACTGGCTGCTTTGCTATGACTCTTGCACTAAGCACTTGGTAAATATTTTCTGTTTTTTGGTCTGTTTTTATTTTACTGATGATTTGTAAATATAGGAACATATTTTGACTTGTGAAAATTCAGCAAAGAAGTTGACCAAGTGGGTAATGCCACTGAAGAAACTTTGTGAGAAACATTGTAATAAGAGGAGGAAACCTTTCTTTATAGGTGTCACTGAATTCAGAGAAAATACTTTAAAAACTCACAGATTCAAAAGAGTTAAATTTATTTTTATTTTAAAGAGGAAAACTTTCTACAAAATCATCTTTTGGAACCAGAGTAGGAAAGAGAGAAAGTTGGGAATTATATAGGAGGACAAGGTGAGGAGACATCGGGAGGATCAGAGCTGACATTACCCATACCCATTGCTCTTTGCTCAGAATCCTTCTTCCTTGTTGATTAATGTGGATTCTTATTCTAATTGTTCTGTAGAAGATAAAAAGAATTCCCCTAAACCAGTGGTCAGCAAACTCATTGGTCAACAGAGCCAAATATCAACAGGACAAAGATTGAAATTTCTTTGGAGAGCCAAATTTTTTAAGCTAAACTTCTTCTAACACCACTTCTTCAAAATAGACTCACCCAGGCCATGGTATTCTGTGGAAGAGCCACACTCAAGGGGCCCAAGAGCTGCATGTGGCTCACGGAAACTTTCACGGTCTTAACCGATTCTGAAAGTTTCTCCTATTAATAATAAAGTTGGTGAAGTTTAAATTTTTTATTTTTGAATGAAAGTGACTGTTCTTTTCTATCCTTATAATTTATTCATTCTTTTAGTACACACTTATGGGGCTGGTCACCAGACAAAGAAATAAGGCTATAACGATGAAGTAGGCCCATAATTTGCCTTTACAAAGCTTAAAGCAATAGGTGGTGCAGCAATAGTCTGAGGATGTTTTTGATATATCCCAATATATACTTGATAGAGGATGAGAAACCCTGGCTTAAATAAACTTTATATATATATTTAAGCCAGGGTTTCTCATCCTCTATCAAATCTTGATAATGTTTCAGTGCATGTGGGGATAATCTTTATGAAATTTACGATGAAAATAGTAAAATACAGAGTAGTATGGGAGAAAAATCAAGATTTAATTTGGATAAAATTCAATACTTAATTTCATTAAGATATACAAAATCATTTGAAAAAATTTTGGTAAGACTTTAAAATTATGACATTGATGACAAATTATCTGCAAAGGTATCAGACAATGCTTTTAAAAAGTATTTTTCCATTTAAAAATTTATGCCAGTTAAAATTATTATCTAAAAGTCTAAAATCTTTTAATTTTATTTCAGTGACAGATATAATTTTAAAATATCTTGTAATAATATAAATATATATAGAATATAACCAGACGTTTTAATATCAAGTATTTAAAATAATAAAGTTGTAATTGATAGAAATGCCTAGGTAGTTAGAGTGGTCACCCTGTAACTCACTTATACACAACTACAAGGTAAGTAATACCAAAGAGAAGCAAGAGAGTTAGGGATTGGGCTACTACTTGGAAGTGTGCTTGCCAGCCTCTCTCTTAATTTATCAGCCTACCCTTTGCCATTGTACAGTGGGTTCCATGTATATTCCATGGAACGTTAACTCCATGGATGCATTAGCCTGGAATGTGACCTCTTTCAATAGCTCCTTGGGACGAATGTCCATAATGGGCAGCAGTGTGCCACTGGCTAGCAAAGTAGATGTTTATGTAATACTAAAAGCCTGGTGCATGAAATTCATGTATGGTGGGAGGGGCGTCCCTCAGCCTGCCTGCACCCTCTTCAATCCGGGACATTTGGGACATCCCTCTCGCAATCTGGGACCGCTGACTCCTAACCACTTGCCTCCCTGCCTGTCTAATTGCCCCTAATCTCTCTGTTTGCCTGATTACCCCTAACCAACTCTGCCTGCCTGCCTGATCACCCCTAACTGCTCCCCTGCCAGCCTGATCACCCCTAACTGCTCCCCTGCTTGCCTTATCAACCCTAACTGCTCTCTTTCTGGCTTGATTGCCCCTAAATGCCTCTGCCTCAGTCCCTGCACCTGGGACCCTGGCCTCCCTCCTCTGCAACCTACAGGTGCCCAGAACTGGGGGAGGCTTTGCCTGGGCTGGCCATGGGTGCCTGGGGCTGGGGGCGGCTTCGCCCAGGCCTGGCTTCATCAGGAAGGATGTCTGGAAGGTCATCTGGAAGACGTCTGGTCTAATTAGCTTATTGTTTTATTTTTTATTTTTATTAGTATAGATAGCATACTTGGGTTGTGTGTAGCATTTCATGATAGAACAATTAATGGCTGGATGTTACTCTGGTTTTTGCTATCCATGGGGATCATGGAGCATACCATCCACTCTATTGAAGCAAACTTTGGCAGCTTCTCTAGAGCACAGATGAATCAAAATATAATGGAATTACATCCTTTAACTCAGCAGCTAGAAAGGAACAGTTTAACACTGTCACCACAATTTAATGACAGCTTCTGGGGGACATTAAATAGTGACTTAATCTTGGTGGATTAAGCTGTATAATATCTCAAAACTGGTGAACTAATGCATAAAGTTGGAATTTGGTCATAATACAGGGAACAAGCTACAGTAGGAATCCATTGATAGTAATTATACTGGAAATTCTATTGATCCACTTCATAAGCAGAGAGTTAGTTGATGGTTCTAATATAAAAAATAATCACTTTTTTTTGAGTGTTTTCTAATGATATGAAAGAACTGAAGTACAGAGAAGAGGTCAAGGAACATGGGCAGTGCAAGGAGACAAGAAAGATAGGATACCCCAGAACACTTTTGGTCAATTTTGTTAAGATTTTCATCAATTCTTTCTTCAGGAGACAATTGGAAATTTATGTTGGAGCCTCACCCTAACTGAAGTTTCATTTTAGCATGTACATATAATTATGTTCAAGTTATCAATTAATTAGAATTAATTCAATCCTATAGCCTTAGTGATTATTCATAATTCCCTTTATTTTCTTCATGAAGCTGAATGAAAGGTACTTTGATTATTGTGCCTCGAGCTTCCAATCTGGACTAGGCAAACCCTACCTTGAGTATGTGCTTCATAATTCTGATGGTAATTGTGGCCGATCTGCCAAGTTTTGTCCCTTTTCATGGATGTGCTAGCTGAAGTCTGTGTTTGGCACAGAAATTCACAACGATTGGCTTCCCTCAGACAAATACTGTAAGTAACCCACCACAGTGACTAGTTCCTGGATACAGTGCCTTAACTTTGTTTGGGTAGAAATATAAATTTGAGTGCACTTGAGTAAACCACTGATATTTGAAGTATGAGTAGGGCCAATTAGAACAAGGAACAACAGCAAGAGCTGTTGAGCTGTTCAGATACGTTGGCAGAAAAGATTAAAAAAGGAAAGCTTATCTACAAAACTTGATTGTGTGGATAGCCTTCAGAACCATCTCGAGGCTTTGGAGTGATCAGACCGTCACGAGCTTGGCTGTGGTTATAAGATGCTCACTCTTTTTCTTTTATATTCCTGGCTGAGGTTCAGTATTCAGAGAGGTGGTAGGTTAATGTTCCATGCAGCTGTCAGCATCTCTGTGGGCATCTGAGAGAGCACAGGACCTGCATATGGCAGTGAGTCTGACATGGACCCTCCTTTCCACACTAGGGCTTTGGGTGAAATGTTGGCAAGGGCCAGTCTTGGGCCTGTAGCAAGGGCCTGGCTTCGGGAGTGCCTTGACTTCCACCTAGTGGCAATTGCAAGCTGGTCAGCCACCCTTTCCTGGGGAGAGACATTTCAGACTAAAAGCCTTTCCAAATATAGGGCTCAAGATCTTTCTAACTGCTTCATTGAGGGCCAGGCCAATTCTGATTGCTACCAAAAAAGTTTAAGCTCATTGAGAGCAATTTCAGGGAGAAAAAAAAAATGTTAATTTCACAGCAAGTATCATTTTGTATAAGATGTGTGTTTATATATACACACAAAAGTATGAGGTAATTGTTAAATGTTCTCAACAGAGGGAAAATAAAACTTTACTTTTAAAGTTTACTTAAATTAATCTTAAAAAACACTGTTTTTCAATAACTATAAAAAGACAAATATATAGCTAAATGCATTTCTGCTCTCTAGATTAGCTTTATTTAACATTAGAGCATAATAATGCTTTGCCCTGGATTAATTTATGCCATTTTGAATTACTTGCATTCATGTATTTATTATTACTTCACTTGGAAAGTGAGAAAACTACAATATTGATTAATAGGAACTCCTCCTTATCTTTCATTGTGTTTTATTCCCTAAATATAGAGTATATTCTTAAAAAATAATGAATGATAATTCAGTATATTTTTACTTCTGAGAAATTGTTTCAACATTTTTTAAACTTAAAAAAATCCCCAATACTTTCTTTCTTCTTTTGCTTATTACTTAGTAACTACTTAACTGTCCTTAAAGTTTGTCTGCTATTCTATAAGTTAATTCTCCATTTTGACTATAATGATGTATAATAGCATTAAAATATACTAAAACTATTTATGTTTGATTAAATTTTATATCATTAAATTTCATTCAGTATTGCTCATATCAATAAAATGTTATTCTATAAAAATAGCATGATGTGTTTCTAGCTTTAAATTGTGCACTATAAGTGAAGAATATAGAATTGTAAAAATTAAATTCAATTCTTAAGACAACATATATCAAGATGATGGTTAGAACACAGAGTATGGCTTTTAAAAACTGGTGTTTTAAAGTCAGGGCAGCAAGAGTGAGCATCAGTTTTGTGTCAGACAGATTTGCTGCTTTGGGCAGAGAATGTAGCATCTGAGCTTAGTTTTCTCATCTGAAAAAGTGCTTAATAAAATATACACAGCCTCACTTGTGTTGCTACACTTATCTGTTTGTAAAGCACCTCGTAAAATCTTGAGAACATAATCAGCACTAAAAACGGATGATAGCTTCTGTTATGATGATAATGATACATAATAATAGAATTATAGTCTCTAAATAGCTCCTCTCAGATAACCAATAACTGAGTTTAACATTGAAGAAGAACATATTGTTTTAAGTGGCAGTGGCACTTTTAATATTTAAAAATAAATTTATTTAAAATTGTAATTAAAATGAATATTTCTCTGTTTTGTCTTAAAAAATGTGACTAAATGGACACATATATGTGTTTATATTTTTGTAGCAAAAAACCTACTACTTTAAAAATTTATTTTATACTTTCCTCTTTTGCTTTTAGATATTAATTTGTGCACATAAAAATGTGATTTTTTTCAGGAGTAATAAAGAAATATCTATAATATACAAGGACTAAATGACATCATTTTACTGTAGTCAAATATAGAAAATTTTAATTAAATATGGATGCCAAATTAAGTAGCTGAAAATGTCACAATTGGTTAAATTATTAGTCTCAGTAGTATACAAAAATCATTGTTTTATCATTAACTTATGAAAAATTATTTCCCTCCCATGATTTAAAATTCAGTTTTTAAATTAAATTTAATGAAGGGAGGGTGGGAGTAAGGGAGAGAGATCAACCAAAGGACTTGTATTCATGCATATAAGTCTAACCAATGGACACAGACACCAAAGGGGTGAGGGCATGAGTGGGGGAAGATGGGGGAAGAGGAGGATAAGGACACAGATGTAATACCTTAATCAATAAAGAAAAAAAAATAAACTAAAATAAATTTAATTTAATGAAATACGTTCAATCCTAGTTATTCATTGAGAAAAGGCCATTTAGATATGTAAAATTACAAATTATGCCATCATTTCCACTGAGAAGTCTTGTTTTTGCCCTCATTTTATAGTCTTGTGCTTTTTAAAATGTCTCAAATTACTGACATTCCACATAGGTCTCAGCTTTGGCTTGAGCAGGTCTCATGAATTTGAGCTGGAGTCTGGTTACTGATGAAGTAATTCCACACACTCACTGCAGAAATCACAGCAACTTGGTTCTACTTGTTTAAAAACATGTATTTATAAGCTGTCCTCAGACTAGAAAACATGGTGTTTGTTCATTCTCTATTTCAGTCCTTACCCACCTGATGGCCAGCAGAGCCCCCATTTCCGAGGCAGAGTTGGTTATTCAGGGAGCTCTGCCCCTCAGAGGGTGTGCTGTGGTGCTGTTCCCTTCACTCCCTGCCTTTCTCCTTCGTTATGACTATGCAGTACTGTCCATGTAGTCCCTGCATTGCCAGGGGTGGAGGCCCAGAAATCTGTTTACTTCACAGATGTCAGAGAGCAATGGAATCCTTTTTGCTATTGAACTCTTGATCAAATCCAGCTTCACCAATGCTCTCATAGTCAGATATTGAATTTTCAAGCACATATAGAAAAGACCATAATAATAGTAAATCTATGATATAAATGCAATAAAGAAAAATACTCTGGAATTCTAGAATGTGAAGTATTTAGAGAGAAAAAAAGATGCAAGTGGACCATGTCTTTCATTTTATACTAGAGGCCCGGTGCAGAAAGTTTGTGCTCTTGGGAGAGTCCCTCAGCCTGGCCAACACCTTCTTGCAGTACAGGGGCCCTCAGAGGATGTCGGACTGCCCGTTTAGGCCCGCTGCCCCCAGAATATATGCATATATATTATGATTTGTATGTATTCAATCACCATATTTATGTAATCATATTATCTATTTCTATCTATATCTATATGCACATATAATGAATTTTATTGACTTTATAGGCTTAAAATAAGACTCTGCTTGTGCTAAATTTATACTGTCATCAATAAATAAGACACAAAATGAATAGTTTGGTTGGTTTTGATCTTTTAAAATCATAAATCAGAGATATTCTAAGTTATCTTCCAGCTTAGTTTAATGGTAATGATATAGTCATAAATCTGTCTAACTCCTTCCATTTCATGAATTATATTTTACATGTAAATATTTAGCAAACATTGACTTTTTCTATACAAAAGAAATGAGAAAGTTTTATTATATTTTCCTTATGTAATACATCAAATCCTATAAAAACTCCTTGTAAAGCTTAATAGCTCAGCATAAGAAAAATATATTTATCTTTCTAAGTGACATATTTATTTATTGATACATTCAGATTTCTAGGGAGTCTATTTCTAATAGCAGTTTTCTTTGCAGGAATAGCACATATGGAGAAAAGAACAGAAGAATAGAAAACTTGCACATCTTGTTAGCAAGCAATGAGCTTCTGGTGTCCTTTTCACTTCCCCAGTGCTAATTAGAATGAATCTAATTAAACTAAGTTAAGTTAATAAAAAAATCTATCATTTACTACGTAAGAGGTATTAGATGGCTCCACCCAGCTCTGTCAAGGACCCTTCTCGAGGACTCTGCTCAGTCCTGGAATCACACTTTGAAGAATATGTCAGCCTGGCCTGTGTGGCTCAGCTGGTTGGGCGTCATCCTGTGGATCAAAGGTTGCCACTGGTTGGATTCCTGATGAGGGCACATGCCCTGTTTGCAGGCTTGATTCCCAGTAGGGGCCATGTAGGAGGTAGTTGATAGATGTCTCTCTCTCTCTCTCTCTCTCTCTCTCTCTCTCTCCCCTTCCTCTCTCTAAAAACCAATAAAAATCTTACAAAAAAGAATAGGTCAAATTATACTTCTTGAGGAATGAACCAGGAAGACAAGGGTTTTAAAATCATTCCATATAGAAAGAGTGAACAGACCTGTGAAGACTTAAGAGAAAGAAAAGCTCAGGGCAATGGCTGGGAATAATCTGCAAGTATCTCAGAGCTTTCCTGGAAGGAAGTTTATTCCATATCCCCCAGAAAATGGACATATCCCCTAGATGAGACTATACTGGAAGGATTTTTGTCTAAACATAAAGATGAATTTCCTATGGTCCGATAGCAATAGCGAGGGGTTTGTGCAATGCCTGGACAACCCCTTGATAAGGGTGGCTCTGTCATTAGAGGTGGTTGGATTTAATTCTCTCTAATGCTCTTTCCAAACCCAAGGTTCTATGATTCTTTTCAACCTTGTGTCGATTTGTTTTTGAAGAGCTGAGGCTGGGAGCAGCTGTAGTTTTCATATTTTTAAAAAGAGTTACACACTTAGACTATAGCAATTCCAATCTGTGGACATGAGGAGAATATTTAAGATTTCACATTAGATGTGATTCCTGTTGTTGAATGAATGTTTTACTTATGTAATTTTGATATTGAAATGTCTTCATGGAGGCCATTAGAATGTGTTCATAAAATTTTATTTGAAATTTTAATGATAAAATTTATGGCCAGTGATGGATTTGTATTCTTAACTGTGTAAATATTTGTGATTGGTTGTCTAAACCATTCTATATTTCTGTCCTGGGTGTGAAGAGTAGTTCTTTGGCGGGTTCTCTGTTTTTCTTTTGTACCTCCATCCAGGATTTG